CTGGAAGACTACAAGTTACGTAATATTTTTTTTTTTTTTTGATCAAATTGACACTGATGAATTTTCGCCATATCATAAAAATGACGAACATTTGTTCCAAAACTCACCTCTACTTCTTTTTGTACAAAAACAGTTCAGGAAAGCAGCAAGAGGAGACAAACACATATTCTCCTATGACATAAACTACCAACCTGGCCACAAGATAATATTCCCAAATAATCGGCACCACAAATATATGTTACTTCGTGAGAACACTAAACAATTAGAAAAAATGACTGACCCTCCGCGGTAGTCATCACCGCCAGATCCACCACGATCACGTTCATCACTCCAACGACTCGGACGATCCCGTCCACCTCTGTCTTCCCGACCACCACGATCTGGAATCAAATGTGAAAAATGTCTAAAGATGTTGCATCGATCAAACGAACAGATTTATGAGGAAAAAAAATTATTCATAGCGGTTGAGGCAAAAACTTATGTACAAAAAAGTTTTTAGAAAGAACCAGAATAAGTTCTAAAAGATGAAAAAAGGAAAGCTAAAGTGATAAGTACTGCAAAAAGCTTATCCTCCCTGGGTGTATGATCAAAACAAGTTACCTCTGTCTCTATCGCCATAGCCACCACGATCTCTATCATAACCTCCGCGACTTACGCGATCATCACGACCTCCTCGATCATCTCGACCACCATAACGTTCACCACCATCTAAAATCAACAATGTTGTAAATTATAACAATCTAGAGTTCCAAAATAGAAATGCTGAATAAACATGCTCCTATGCAGCTCACAATACATGTCAAATTCTTTAGGGTATTTTCAGAAACCGAGTCAAATAACACTGTAATTTTTCTGCAACACATGTCAAAACTTTTGTCCTGTAAGCAGGAGAAAATGTGTAACTGTCTATGGATAGGATTTTCGTGCGATTCTAGAGCTTCCCTACAATTTCTTGAAGGGACTTTGATCTGATTTAGGTAGGCGATAAAATCGTGCTTTTTTAGTAAAAAATAAGATTATTCGATACCATAGTCACTACGTTCCAGAATAATGTGATACTCACCTCCGTAACCACCTCGGCCAACATGGTCATCTTCATAATCATAAACATTTTTGCCAGTCACAGAACCACCATGTTGCGGTGCACCTCTTCTACCTCCCTGTAGTACGCCGTAAGCCGGGGCTGAAGCGTTTCCATATGTTGGTACCGATGCTCCATTTTGTCCTTGGGGAGCCCCTGCTTGCGCAAAATATCCCGAATAATTATGAGCGGCATTCGGCTGTAAAAACAAGAGAAACAATTTTCTAAAGTATCCCTGAAAAGGATGTAGGAATCCAAAACCAGTTATAGTTACATCAGGTGTAGCTGCTTGTACTCCCTGCGGTACAGGTGTCGGTACGGATCCAGCTCCTGGTGGCGCAACTCCTGGAACTCCGCCCGCTATGCCAGCCTGGCCTACTGCTGCATAGTACTGTTGCCATGCCTGTAAAGGTTTCAAATAAATTGAATCAGACAAATACAGAAAAAATGGAATAAAATGTTAAGGAGTAAAATAGAAACAAAATGTTTTTTATGCATCTTTCAAATTTTAAATATTATTCACTCTATAGATACATTCACTTCTTTTCCTATCCAGGAATAGAAATGGAAAAGTTTTTTAAACTTTATATAAAATCATATTCCATCGTCGTAGGAACAACAAATTATTACTTTATACTAAACGAAGAAATAGTTAATTCACTTCAAGATACTTTTAAGCAAGTCTATCTGTTGCGAATTTCAATTTTTAATAAATGATATAACTTTGGGCGACAAAACAACGCTGAACTATTCAAATGAGGAAAAAATAAAAAACGCGAGAACTAACTTGCTGGTACTGCGCTAATGCTGCCGGATCATATTGTTGGTAAGTTGCTGCCACAGCAACGGATGCATTTGGATCAGTAGTTCCCTGTGCAGCATTTGCTGCTTGCGGAGGAAATGCTGCAGCACCGTAAGCTAAAAAAGAGAATGAAATTAAGAGAGCAATGATAACCAACTAGTTTCTATTCAAAGCTTTAAAATCAACACTTACCCTTGAAATATTACTTGAAACCCGGAAAATATACAATGCACCGATTATATTACTGAGGAACAATTTTATAAGGTTTAGCAGTGTGGAAATGCAGCTACTTGTATTTCGAAAGCCATATCAAGTCACTTCTTAAGAAAGTTCCTTTTCAATTACCTTTTTCAGAAACAATACATACCAAACACAAGTTTAAGACTTTAAAGAATGAGCATTAAGCATATTCAGTGACCTGAATATTTTTTAGTATTTTAATCGGGAAACAAAAAAGATACTAAAATAAAGTAAAATGAGTCGTAACATTTTTGTCGCTCTAGTCGTCATTACTATCCATATTATGACATTTACCTTGTTCCGCTAATGAAAAGCCAGCTTCATGCAACGCAGATATTATCCGCTCATTATAACAAATTCAAATACTTGCATCTTTTATTTTGACACCCTATACGAAAATATTTCCAAAATCGCATATAGAAAATGTCTTCCAAGAGCTCATCAAATGCAAAGCGTAGATTTTTGAGCTACAGAAATAAACATTATCCATTGATAAAAATATGTTGCTTCTTCTAGTCCTAATTTTAATTAACAAAGATAATTTTGCACTTAGCCACAATAATTTAAAACCACGGTTCGAAACGCAATCACTTTTTCATCACCTAATATAAATAAAATTGGAAAAAACCTCATTTAATCAACCACTATTTATCCTGTTCTATTTGCTTTATCAATAACTGGAATTATTGAGGTGCCATAAGACAAAAGTACTTTTGTTCTATTGATTCCATCACCAATGTTTCAAAATTATAGATAACACAGATACGTAAGTCTTAAAAGAGAATGTTTCGAAAGTAACGTAAAGTGTCTGGGGCATCTGGAAGAGTGGATGCCAATGTTTGACGGTCATCAACTAGCCATCAGACGAAACATGTCATCTGTTGTATCACAACTACATCTCGCAGGATAAGCTTCTTCACACACATAAGCTTATTCACATAGATCTAGATCTATTCATCCGTCAGTTTTTATTCACACTAGTTCACTAATACTTGCTTTTCTAGCATTCGTCAAATTGCTTTCCGGAACACCATTATAGATGAGCCTCTCATGAATTCCTGCAGTTAATTTCAATGAAATCTCCAGAAATTGACCCGTCATTCAAAACTAGCCCGTCAAAAGTACAACCTATGAAATGCGGGTACAGAGGAAGAGAAAATCAGCAGAATGAAAAAGTAGTGTAAGAAATGATCCATAACTAATTTACGTGTCGTTTCAAAACTGAAAATTTCCAAGACGACACGCGACGAAAAATAGTGTCGCTACAAAGATGGAAGAATTTGGAAAAGGTTTTCCTAACATTTTCGGAAACTTTTCCGAAAGCGAATTTGGCTTGGAAGTCGTCATGTCGTCATAGCTTATCAATCTTAAACGTCTAAAAAAAATACATATAAACTGAAGCAAAAAGAACCAACCTGCCATAACGAGTGCTCCTCACAGGTATTATTCGATGGTAAATCAGAAGCAATTCAAGTGTCACACAACTCCGGTATTAAAAAGAACAGGAAGCTCCTAAACACAAACACTAAAAATCGATTATCGAATTACGAACAGCGAAATTGGATGAGTGCCAGTTTTCACTCTTCCCATTCTTCCACGTAGGAATTCAACCCTGACTTGAAATGTGACATTAGGAGATCCTGAATGTTCATCTATACGCAGTATAACTGCTCCCACCTCAAAAAGCAGCTTTTCTGCTTGGCCACTAAAAGCCTTCAAAGATTTCTGAAGAACAAGTGGTTGTTGTTTCTTAGAGGTAGAATAAACGAGCTCAGCGTTCTCTCAAAACATAGGACTAAATAAAAACATACGACAGGAGCATTCTGCGTCCCACAAGTGGCATAACGCAGGTCACGTCTATCCTGTTCCCCTCCCTTCTACTCTCTCTCCTCGAGTCACCACCAGTCACTACCTTCTTAACTTATGACCTCTTGACCCTCTCGATATGCAACGATGATACCTAACGTGCCCCACAACTGTAAAGATTTGATCTCCGGGTCTTGAGACAATTGTCTGGTCTCAATCTTTCTTGCTTTACGTATTCATATGTGGAATAACGTGATGGCGGAGGTAGGCCCGTTGAAACGTGAATACTAATGAGGTGGTAGTCTGAAGATGGATTTCATAATAAATGTGAAATGAATAACGAGGAAGTGTGCTTAGTAAGCAGATATGTGATGAGGTGGCATGAGATGAATCACCGCATTGCTTGGTGCTCGTTGATGTCTTTCGAGAAAAACATCATTAGAATATATAGTTCGTTGACATATAAATGAACGAAAACGCAATAAATATTCTCTGCTTTTGTGAAATAAGCCATTTTACCTTTCCCATCTCCTTTTAAACACTTCTCAATGGTGTCATCATATTATCTCTCCATTTTCAGATACTCATATATCATATATAACTTTGAAGTCTTATATGTGTCTTTGTCAAAATCAAAATATATTTTCTCTGAATAACGAAAAGTATTTTGTGATTCAACAAAAGGGTGTTTTTAAGTACTTTTAAACTATTTTTAGGTTTTTAAGTTGTTCTTAGGTTTAATTATTTTTAGTTATTCTATATATCTAACAGTGCACCTTCTGAAGATGTGTCGTTTATCTGGTCTATTTTTCGGTATGCATAAATAGCAGGATTTGCGAGTGACTGTAAATCGTTGGATGTAAAGCTTTTCATTAAGAGTAAGAAAAATATCTGCATAAAAGGAGTTTGCCAGTGCCCGTTTTCTTTTAATTAACAGAATATCCATTATCATTCTCCAAACCCACTAATTAATTTCCTTTCTCCACCCATCTCCTGTTTTCATCTTTATGGAAAAATGGCAGAATCAGTGCTGTCGCGAACTTTTCGATGTACTTAGGTTTGCTCATAGCACAGTGCAAAGTAAATTCCACTGATCACATTTCAACATACAGCTGAATCAACAACGACATTAAATGGAAATATTCTTTTATGTTACCGTTTTAGCATGTTTGCTAAACGATATATTGCTATCAATTCATTACTTCCATTATGAAAGTCACGAAATTAAACTTTTCGCATATTTTACTTATTTGTTTCTGAAACCATTTTCTCTTGAAAAGGCCAGTAGAGATGAGATTTCTTCGTCTGAGGTTCAGTCTGCTTGAATCTGCTTGATAAACATGTTGGAGCAGAGATCAGATCATGAAAACCAATATACATTATAGTACATCCTCGCTTGAACTTAACTGTAACAGGCATCTAATGCCACCGAAAATGACAAGAGGGAGACAGAGAAAGAATAATGTTTTAATATGATGCTCTTTACAGTTACTTTGCAGTTTTATTTATTCACATAGATGTCACTGCAAACTGTAGTTTTTCTGCCAACTGCCATGCACTGTAAAAGGTCTTTCTGTAAGGGACTTTCTAAAATAAAGAAAAATTTGTTCTGATTTGCAACAAATGCAGCCAACAAATTTCCATACAATTGATAATTGCAGATTTGCTATCAACATATCTGCTAATGAATTAACACTTCGTTTTTATTTCCGGGAAAAATCTAGTTTGCGCAGGAAAGAATTCCGAAAATCGGAGATCCAGTGTTCTCTGCCTCTTGTGAAGTAACTCTTTGGCAATGCCTTTCTGCCCAACGAAGAATGTGGTGTTGCTAACTGCTGCCATTAAATTCATCACTTTCACGAACTGAGCCGTTCAAGAGATTTCACAAAATAATATTTAATCAGAAATAATTACTGACTTTCACGTTTCCTTTTCAATTATCTTGTTTCAAAGAAGCAAAAACTCACTTTTTTGATCTTTATGGGAATGTTCCTACTTACCCTATGTTATTTCAATTTACTTATTCTTCGTACTTTCTAATTTAGATCTCTTTTTTTTTGTGAGAGACTTGTGAAATATATAAATAAACAGCTTCCCTGAAAAGGACGTTTACAGGAAAATTTGACAAAAAGAATCGATAAAAAGGAATGAAAAAAAACAGGAAGTTTTGTCATTTATGCTTGAATATCGCTAATTTTTTCTGCAAAAGAGAGCTACTTTCATTGTATTCATTACGCTTTTGTATTTCTATGGCCAATTATTGTGTGTATGTGCAATCTGTGACCAAAGAATATCTTTAAACACCTCTGAGCGGGATGGTTATGTATTGAGTAGTGTATTCGAGGAAAAGAAATTTTAAGAGTTAAACACTGTTGCTAGCAAGTTGCTTTCTCTGTCACTGGGCACGCCAGCTATAATCCCGTCTAATAAAGCGAGTAGTTTGCAAAACTAACCGTGCTTTTCTATTATTTGCAATTTCTGCAACCTCTAATTTTCTATTATTTGCATTCCTGCAATCTCTGATTTTCTATCCAAATTTACGAAATCCGCATATTGAGCACTGAATCATCAGCTTAAAGCTTAAACTCTCAAATTTTTCCTTGCAGAACGCAAGAAGTTCCGCATCATGTGCAAAAGATACTGCACTTTTTTGTCTTTATTGCAGTGAACTTATCTTTCTTCTTACAAAAAGCCAGTAATAATTCATTGTAGGAATGATAATCTGAGCATAACTGGCCACATTCTCTCCATTTGTTTTATTTAAAAATAACCGTTGTTGGTTCCAAATCATCATCAACATAGAGCCTGGACCAATTTCTCTTCCTTAACTAGAGGCTTTTCCCGGACTGCTATAGAAGTATTCATTCAGGATAAATCAGAGCAGAAATATGCAACTACTTTACCACAAATGAGCAACAGGAACTATTATTCATTCCAGATTCTTCCATATACAAACATCTACCATAACTTGTCTCTCTAATATAATTTTACACATATAAACATTTTACGCACAGTGCACGACTTCTCTTTAAAAATCCTCGTGTTTTGTGAGACTTTGAGTTTGAAGTTCTTCTTGAACTAATAATTCATTGCAGCCATCGAAGTTTGTCTACAATAGCTCACTTTCCAAAATTTTTCAGAATGCTGTGCATCTGATCTATCAGCAGTTGTTCCTTCGCTAATTAATACATTTAGCTTCTCCGAAATGTCACATGAAAGTGCAAATATAGCAATGATTAGTCATTTTAGAGCGTGATGACACTTTATTCCAAAAAGCTTGCATTACCTAAAAGTTTACTGTCAGTCGAGAGAACAGTGGTGTATATGTAAGCACTTCCAGCGAACGTGGCCATCTAATAACTCGCACATAAGAGTGGACGACGTACAAGGACACTTGACCGTCAGCTGTTGTACACAACATTCACGTTCGTTAACTTGCTAGTACGAGTTATTTCCAATTAAAATCTTCGCAATCTATTTTATGAGCAAATCATAGGCCTCATTTTTGTTTGTTTCATTACCAAAATGAAAGTCAGCAACGAATCATCAACTTAAAAGGAAGGAAAAATGTTTCAATAATCTCTATAGCTATGTTTACGAAAATTTTAAAGTTTCTTTTTTTTTTTTGGGGTTCGGAAGAGTTCAACAAATTTGCATATCTCCAGTTAATTACTAATCAGAAAACTGGGGAGAGATATGTAGTGTGAAAAGAGTGTGGAAAAGGAAATTCCTTCGAGATGGGACTGTTTCAGATTCCCAGCACAAAATACTAAAATATCACATGCCAGTATGAGAAATGTTCTTTTCTAAAGTTTAAACTGTACAGTTGCTTCCGATATTCGTCAGCGCCTATCATATCATTAGTATTACTCACTCAATATGACGTGTCGCTTCAGATGCGGAGTGACTGTGTCTTGGACAAATGTGTCATCGTGCTTTAACAACACAAACCTAGTCATTACGGCTGTCATTCTGTAGTGACAGCTGCGCTGATACTAAGGCTTTATCAACAAACATATTGTTCAAGATGGGCACTGAAATTCTTGTTTGTTTTGTACCGTAACCATGTTTTTGTCGTATTAGTGGTTGTTTTTTTTTTGTCTTTCTTTGTTTTAAAGTCGATTTGAAGCGAAGTATTTTAATTTAAACGTAACCGTCTGCGATATTATTACCATCCGCAAAACGTGATCTGCTTATAACGATAAAGATACTTATTGCAGCGCCAACATGATCCTGTCATCAGCGTTCTGCGTCATGTAAGTGCATTTCTTCTATTTTTTTATAAATCGATCAATTAATTCATTTGTAAAATTGTCCCTTGAATTGTTAGTAATTCTATTTCTGTCTCCTACTACATTTATAGATTGGTCATCGTTAATGCTGTCATCTGTACCGAAGGAACGTCTGTATCCCGGTCATTTTCTTCAGTCATCATCCAATTTAATAATACTGTTTGCAAAGTTCAGGTAGGACGAGGAAGAGTTATCATATATTCGGAGAGGTTTGCAAAAAACTGATAACTAGAAATGAAAGAACCAAAGGAAACATGTTCTTTAGAGGATCATGTAGTAATTGCTACGATTATGAGATGATGGTCATGTACAATCGATATATAGGTTCTGAAAAGGAATCATGTGAAAGGTACGACATGTGAGAAAAGCTTTCGATGTCAAGTTTCACATGGCTACTCGTTCTTTAACTCATTTGCCTTTGGTATCATACTCAATTCACATGT